TCAGTGTGGGAGGGGAGGAGAAGAGCAGCCAGCACGCTTCCTGAGACCTGGGATCCCCAGTTACTGGCCCCAGCTGTCTCTGTCCCCTCCCCCTGGCCAGACCCTTCCACCAGCACCCTGTCCCAGCATCCTGTCTCTTACCCCTACGAGAACAGTTGGGGCCCCGGGGTTTTGGAGCTGTTGTTTTTTTGTATCTCACTTGTGTGCCCCGATTGACTTTTCTGTGGGTCAGTGACCCCTTACTCAAAACAGGTTCCCCGCCCCTCGCATAAATAAAGACTATGCTGAAACATTTTGTGTTTGACATAATATTTTATGTAAAAATGAAGCCTGGCCAACAAGCCCCCAGTTGGGGCCAAGCCCCCATCTGGCTGCAGCATCATAACACTCCTGCATCCCCCGCCCCCCAACCTCAAACTTGAGCCTCTCATACACTGGAATCCCCTGTCCTGAACCTCTCACATCCCCAAACTCCTGCACCCCCACATCCTCAGTCTTCTGCCACAACACTCCTGCACCATCCACACGCTGCAAATCTTTGTCCTGAGCCCATCATACTCCCAGCCTTCCTGCCCTGAACCCCTCACGCATCCCAGCCCAAACTCCAGCATCCTCACAGCCACAAACCTGTGGCTTGCTCAGCACCCCAACCCTCCACCTGAGCCCAACACTCTCCAGCCTGGAGCTGCCTCCCTGAGCCAGCATCCTCTTCTTTCCTTCCTCCTACACCCAAATTCCCTCCTAGAGCTTGCACCTCTCACCCCTTCCAGTGCTTTTTTTTGTGATGGTATGCCCCAGGATGGTGTACCGGCACCTATTTTCCCCTGGCCTGTTTGTTTTTTCTCAACAACTCTTCCCCTCAGTACATGGCTCTTTGAACTCTGTCCACCACTGTTTTGGCTCTTTATTTCTTAACGGGTTGGCCACCCCTGTTCTAGTCACTTTGCACCAAACCAGTCATGCTTTCTTTACGAGGGATACAGATGTTTGGTAAAGCCAGTATCTCCGATAAAGGAACCTGTTAGTATCCTACTTCTCCTTGTTCTTGCTGTTGATGATGGGCTTTTCCATCTTGTCCTTTCATCCCCACTTGCTCTTCCTTTGGTAGTCTTCTCTTTGTATCCTAACTCCTTCATTTCCTGCTCAGCATGTTTCTGTCTATCTTTGTCAGCTACTTAAGTGACCCCCATTACCATAATGTCCCAGCAGCTCTCAGCACCTCTAGAAGGCAGAGAAGCACTATTCTCTCTATTTTACAGATGAGGAACTCATCCCCAGGGAGACCAAGGTCACATATGAGGTCTGTGGCTGCATAAGGAATTGAATCCAAATCTCCCAAGTTCTAGGCTAATCTTCCCCCAGCCTTTGAACAGTCTTTCTTTTTCTCTGCTTGCTTCTTCATGGGAAAATTATTTCAGAACTTCAGGGAAATACCATTTCTCAAACATAGGAGTGTCAGAGTTCCTGGCATTTTAGGAACATGTTTTCCCTTCCCTTGGTAAACTACATTGTCCAATTTTTCTAATCACATACAATCTGGGTTATTTTTTGTTTCCCCCTTGCAGTACTTCTCCATGCTTCTCTTGATCTTCCTTATTGAGCTGGTTGCTGGAGTTCTTGCCTATGTTTACTATCAAAGGGTAAGTTGGAAGGTTTGTTGCATTTATATTTTTGATGTTAGAGCAATACTCTGTCTGTGAGACTGGGTTAAAAAGTCTTTTCCATATAAGAGCTCAGTAGAAAATAATTGCAAATAAAATGTATAAAAGTTACCCAAAGGATTTTCTTAAATTTGTATGGCCAAATGCTGTTGTACAAAGCAAGGCCACATAATAAAGCTCTAACCTACAGGGAAATATTGCTGGGCTCAGAAACAAAAATCCCAGTCCCATCCATCTTAGTTATGCCTCAGCCATAGAATATGAGGGAAAAACAGGAGGCACAACCCCTGATCCATCCTCTTCCAAAATTCTGGGGCAAGATGACTTTGTCCAGTGTACACTTTGGTTGGCCGTTCCATCTTCCCTCCATGTGACCTGGTGCAGACAGGTTTTTGCAGAGCTCAGCACACAAGGAGGCTATGGCATCCCTTCATATGCTGCTGATGCTGTCTTCACTCCTTTGTACATTTCTGCTGCATTTGAGCCTTTGTCTGAGCACATAAGGGGAAACCTCTTGAGAACACTGCAGGCTGTAACAGTGCAAAGGAGTGTGCTTGAGGCTGAGTACATTTGTAATTTGTTCCTACACATTCAATGTAGGGCTGTCAGTTCATCATGGTTACTCACGCAATTTAATTAAAGAAAATTAATCACGATTAAAAAATGAATCATGAGTAATCACACTGTTAAATAATAGAATACCAATTGAAATGTATTAAATATTTGGGATGTTTTTCTACTTTTTCAAATATAGTGATTTTGGTTACAATGCAGGATATAAAGTGTACAGTGTTCTCTTTATATAATTACAGATATTTGCACATTAAAAAATGATAAACAAAAGAAATAGTACTTTTCACTTCCCCTCATAGAAGTACTAGAGTGCAATCTCTTTATCATAAAAGTGTAACTTGCAAATGTACTTATTTTTATTTACATAACTGCACTCAAAAACAAAACAATGTAAAATTTAAGAACTTACAAGTCCACTCAGTCCTACTTCTTGTTCAGCCAATCACTAAAATATACAAGTTTGTTTACATTTATGGGCAATAATGCAGCCTGCTTCTTATTTGCAGTGTCTCCTGACAGTGAGAACAGGCATTTGCATGGCACTTTGGTAGCTAGCATTACAAGGCATTTATATGCCAAATATGCTAAATATTTGTATGCCCTTCATACTTTGTCTGCCATTCCAGAGAATATACTTCCATGCTGATGATGCACATTAAAAGAATAATGTGTTAATTAAATGTGTTACTGAACTCCTTGAGGGGGAATTGTATGTCTGCTGTTCTGTTTTATCCACATTCTGCCATACATTTCATGATATAGCAGTTTTGGATGATGATCCAGTACATGTTCATTTTAAGAACACTGTCATTGCAGATTTGACAAAACACAAAGAAGGTACCAATGTAAGAGTTCTAAAAATAGCTACAGCATGAAACCCAAAGTTTAAGAATCGGAAGTGTTTCCCAACTTGAGGTGAGGTGAGGAACATTATTTCAGAAGTCTTAAAACAGCAACACACTGATGCAGAAAATACAAAACCTGAACCACCAAAAAGGAAAATCAACCTTCTGTGGGTGACATCTGACTCAGATGATGAAAATGAACATGTGGTGGTGTTCTCTGCTTTGGATCATTATTGAACAGAACCTGTCCTTAGTTTGGATGCATGTCCTCTGGAATAGCAGTTGAAACATGAAGGGACATATGAATCTTTAGTGCATCTGGCACACAAATATCTTGTGACACTAGGTACAACAGTGCCATGCAAATGCCTATTCTCACTTTCAGATGATGTCATGAACAAAAAGTGGGCAGCATTATCTTTTGCAAATTGTAACCAAACTTGTGATTGGTTGAAGAAGTAGGAAGACTGAGTGGACTTGTAAGCTTTAAATTTTTTATTATTTTATTTTTTAATTCAATCATATTTTAAATATAATTCCCCATTTGTATAAATTCAACTTTTATAATAAAGAGATTGTACTTTAGTATTTGTGTTGCATGAATTGAAAAATACTATTTCTTTTGTTTTTTACAGTGCAAGTGCTTCTTATAAAAATAATATAAAGTGAGTACCATACACTTTGTATTCTGTGCTGTAATTAAAATCAATATATCTGAAAATGTAGAAAACATCCAACAATATTTAAATAAATGATATGCTGTTATTGTTTAACAGCTCAAATAATGGCGCAATTAATCACGATTGTTTTTAATCGCTTGACAGGCATAGCATAAATTAGAAAATAAGCAGGTTCAGAACATTGGTCCATCTGGTTAAGTGGCCTGCCTATGTGAATATGAGTCTAACCAACACATACAACATGTTACTGCAGGATAAAAAAAAAATCTCATCCCTTCTAGAAACATGAAGGAAAACTCCCTACTCCCCTAGAAGCCCTGTATAACTAGAGAAGGATGCCCCCACTGCTGTTTCAGCAATTCCGATGAGCTCTTCATCTCCACTGCTACCCCCAGACAACTGCATTTAAACCAAAACAAATCTGGATCATAGGTTAGGTTCAAGCTCCTCTGTCCCACTCCTATGGGGTAATTTTTTTGGCTCTATGAACTGTATGACTGCTGGCAGACAATTGAAACTTATATCCCCAAGAACTGGTAGTGGTGAAACATGGTGGGCATTTCCATGGTCTCCTCACCACAAATCCACACCAACCCCCACCAACCCTAGTGTAGACAGTGCTGTGTCGAGAGGAGATGCTCTCTTGGGGAGATGGAATACCTATGCCAACAGGAGAAGCTCTCCTGTGGGCATAGCTAGCATCTTCACAAAGCACTACAGCACTTTAGGTGGAGACCAACTTTCAGAAAGTTAAAGATTCCGGTCTCATTTGTCTCAGAATATCTCTGAAGCTAACAGCCTTATATTGGTTTAGAACAGAAGCAACATTAGACTGAGGCCCATATTGTGTGGAAGCAGTTCCCAAGTCCTGATCTACTGTTCTTCCTCCCACCAGCTGGTATATTTGTCAGTTTAAAAAAAAAATGTTTGTATGAATTGGATTCAATTTTGTAGAATTATCCAACATTACACTTGCTGACTTTAATTGTGGACGCCTTTCCAAAAAACACCATACGTCACCAGAAATACTCCCACGTAATCTATGAAGGGAATATTATATTTTGGCCAGTATTGCGCATGTTATACAACAGTGAAGCTGTTCTTTTTTTTTTTTTTTTTTTTTTTTTTTTTTAAAGCTTTGAAGTTAGGTGCAATGAAGAATTGCTCCATGCACTTTTTTTTTTCCTCTTGGCAAATCTTTGGCCTGATTCTAGTCTCACACTGGTACACTGTCACTGACTTCAACGGAGTTGTCTTTTGTTTTAATACAGCATTACTAGGATCAGAATCTGGCTCATCATTTTTTCTTTAACACTTTATTTTATTTACATTTTAAATCCCAGTAGTCTAATCATAGATAAGAAGCCAGCTCACACTGACTTTAAGTAAACAGTAATCAAAGGGCTGTAGTTTCAATCCGAAGTTCCATCAATCAGATTAACACTCCATGAAGTTATTACCAGGCAGCCTCATAATGTTGCTCATCTCATGCCTTTAATTTATTTTAATAATTTAGATTGCAGTTAATGACCTGGTCTTAATATCAATTATATTTTTCATTTCCTGTTTATTATATTATTATCATTTTACATAGCACTGTAATTTAACACTGCATTTTGCAAATCTAGATTAATATGCGATCTCTTCTCTGAAAAGCTTATGTAACCTAACAACATGAGCAGCCATGAGATAAGACACAGAACAATAGTTCAGGGAACAGAAGGTTATAGAGGGGTTAGTGAGGAAGAGAATTTTGTATTCAAAAAGATAATTATGGTGTTCTACTTTTCTTGGTTTTTGTTTTCTTTTGTTTTTAAAGACATAGGTATCTCACACTTAGGATGAAGGGCCATCTGTGCCTTTGAAATTTCCTGTTTGTCTAGGGCTTATGTTGCTTTAAGCAATTTTTAAAAGAAGATTTCACCAATTTAGGATTTTAATCTTTAAATATATCAGGCCTGATTCCAACTTTACACCAGATTTACACCACTGTAACTCCGCTGACACTGGGGACTTATTTATGATTTACACTGAAACAGGAAGGACCTGAAGCATGCCTGGGAGTGATCTAAAAGCTAAAGCAAGAATGCACATTTCCTTCTAGAATGTATTCATCATGACTTTTCTCATTGGTGTACAGCTGAGCGAGGAGCTAAAACGCCACCTGACCCAGACCTTGACTGAGAATTATGCTCTTCCTGGGAAAACACACATCACACATTCCGTCGATCGCCTGCAGCAAGACGTAAGGAAACCTTCTGTTGCTCATATTGCTTCTGCCTTGCTATTTGTCCCAGCTCATGTTTCATTTATTATTACGAGTTGCTGGAATCTCATGAGATGACCTGAACTTGCCTAATTTTCAGACCGAAGAAATGAAGGCAAACATCTGAAAGTTTCAGCCTTTAGATAGCTACCTTTACAGTTCTCAAAGTCGAAATGTATAAGCAGAGGTACTCCCAAATCAGTGACCACTTCTGTAAACATGATAGCATTGCCTTTTGCAACAGGTATGGTCACTGGACCTGATTCCAATCTCATCTACACTGATATAAATTAGGAATAACTATTGGAGCTAGTGGAATTTAACTATTGAAAAGCTAGTGTGAGATCAGAATCTGGCCCCTGGGTTGTGTGTGTGCCCAGCAGCAGGCTGTAGCTGACATGGCTGGAGTCCAAACTAAGTTGCTAAAACATCCATCCTGTTGGCATTTTTATCAACTGAAATGGATGTATGTTTTAACTGACCAATAACTCAACCCACTCTGTTTTCTTCTTGTGAGGATAATGTCACGCCATCCACACAATGTCAGCATTTCCTTTCCATTGCAGTTCAAATGCTGTGGCAGCAATAGCTCTACTGATTGGCAGCACAGTATCTATATCCTGTCTGTAGAGTCCAATGGCCGATTGGTACCAGATAGCTGCTGTAAAACAGTCACCTTCAAATGTGGGAAGAGGGATCATCCATCCAACATTTACAAGGTGGAGGTAAAATGTCATTTTGTTGGTCTGTTTTTTTCCCTGTTTCTTGAACAAAGCATAAATGATGTTATCTTACAGAAAAATTAAGGGATTCAAACATGAACATCCAGAAAACTGATGAAAGTATCCGAAATAATTAACATAAGAACATAAGAATGGCCGTACTGGGTCAGACCAAAGGTCCATCTAGCCCAGTATCCTGTCTGCCGACAGTGACCAGCACCAGGTGCCCCAGAGAAAGTGGACCGAAGACAATGATCAAGCGATTTGTCTCCTGCCATCCCTCTCCAGCCTCTGACAAACAGAGGCCAAGGACACCATTTTATCCCCTGGCTAATAGCCTTTTATGGACCTAACCTCCATGAAATTATCCAGTTTCTCTTTAAACTCTATTATAGTCCTAGCCTTCACAGCCTCCTCTGGCAAGGAGTTCCACAGGTTGACTACATGCTGTGTGAAGAAGAACTTTCTTTTATTAGTTTTAAACCTGCTACCCATTAATTTCATTTGGTGTCCTCTAGTTCTTCTATTTAGGGAACTAATAAATAACTTTTCTTTATTGGCCCTCTCCACACCACTCATGATTTTATATACCTCTATCATATCCCCCCATCAGTCCCCTCTTTTCTAAACTGAAAAGTCCCAGTCGCTTTAATTGCACTTTTGTGTGGTGTTCTGTGATCACTCGGTCCTTATGCTGCCTGGTCTGTTTTGAGTCTGGCTCCAACTGCCTGTGAAGAGCCTCCTAGCGCCCAGCTCTGATTCTGTTGAAATCAACTCTTAAAGGCACAGTCCTCTCTGGTATATTTTCCCTTTCAAACCAAAACTTAATAGGTACAACATTTAAAAACCAACATTAACATAACACACACACATTTTTTTAACCAACCTAGTAACTAAACTGCAAAGAATGGTCAATTAGAGTTCAATGTGCTCATCACAGTTACTTGAACCTCCAGGACTCCCCTATAACATCAGCGCTACTGCTGTCAGAAGGCGGCTAGTTGTTTGAAGTCCTGGGACTCAGTGCTCTCAGCCTGCTGTGGTTGTTGCCTGTCTGACCCCTCTCCATTCAAATGGCAGGCTCTGTGCCCCTTATCTCTCTCCCTTCTGGGATTTGGAAAAGGTGTCACTTATTCCTCTATAAGACATGTACAAATGGGGTGTTAATCTCATACAACGGTGGGGATACATCTCATGACACCACTGTTGTTTGCGACTCTTGTTTCCATCATAGATATTCACAGCTTCATTTCATGAAGCGACAGCTCTAGGTACTCAAATCATTTTTTTGTGTAGTGTCTTATTTGTCTCTTTATATATCTGCAAATCCCCAGTGACTGAGAGAACAGCTTCTAACAGTGCAGGCATTCTTGTGTTAGTTGGATAGGTGGTGCCATTCTGTAATTTAACAATGCTTAATATGGACCAGCGTCTGACTCGTCATTCTTTTTCAGTAGACCTTTTATTACTGACACACCATTTTTCACTAGATGGGGGTTAATGGGCACTAACAGTTTTATATGTCTACATGTGTACTTCACTGCTTAAACTCATGCCCGCAAAACTGTGCATAAATGTGCATGTCAAATCTAAACATCTGTTTAGCTGTAGTATTTTCTAGTAAAGGTATCTCCGGGAAGAGAGAATAATAGTCTAGGACAAGTACATAGCTTTTCTGCAGCCAGCATAAACAAATCTGCCTACTTTGCTCCACTGAACTTTAGTCAAATTCTGTAGGGAATGTGCAAGCAGCAAATCTCTCCCTTTCAATTTGCAAATAGTACCTTTATAACTAAAAACATCTCTGTCCTCTGGGTTGTGTTTGCCGGGCCCCTCGTGGCAATGGCAACAAGTGGTTTATGGTCAGTTTCCGTTAACAACTCCTTCATTTAGACATCTTGATGCTCTCAGTTTTTTGTAGTGCTCAGGACACTTACATCATTTTGTCTTCAGTTTTGATCGTAACTGTTGTAAGACAACCATATCGATACCTTCCTTGGAGGTGTCTGTGGACAATTTATTTTTGCGCTTATTCTCCTAATACCTCAGGACCCAACTCTCTTTAATTAACACTGTCAGTTTCTCAAATTCTTTATGAAGGGGACTTCTACACAGCATGCTTATTTCAAAATAAGCTATTTTTGATTTTTTTTCCAAAATAGCTTATTTCAAAATAGCACTTCTGCACTGTAGGGCAGCCTCAAAATTAGTCCGAGGCCGGCTTCCCTAATATGGATGTGCTTCCTCAGTTTAGAGCCCCAGGAGGCACTGGGGAGTAATTACTTTAATGGCCCTGGGGAGGAGCTATTTCAAAAAGCAGCAATGGAGCACTCACACTACTGTGATTCCAAAATAGGTGTTTCGGAATAAGCATTATTCCTTGTGGAATGAGGTTTACAGATTTTTAAATAAGCCATCCATTATTTCGAAATTATTTTGTAATAACGGAATTGCTGTGTAGACACTCACATGTTATTTTGAAATAATGGCCGTTATTTCAAAATAACTGTGTAGACGTATCCTAAGAATTGTATCCTATGTCCTTTGGAAAATTGCTCTCTCGGGTTGTCGTCTTGAACAACCAGATTAGGCATTTATTTCTCTACATATTTCACAGTTCCAAGGAATCCCGGTAGCCTTTCCTTTTCTGCTGGGGCAGGCGTGTCAGTGATGATCCCTATCTTGCTTTGTTAACTTCTCTCCAAGGTGTGTTATTTATGTTATGTGGAATTTATATTTTTGTTTGTTTTGCTTTAGCCCCGCTGCTCTGGTTCTTTACAAAGCTGCTTGGGGCTTATGGTCATTCTCTTCTAATTTTGTTTTTCCTCATATCAAAAACATTATGTAAACCTCTAGACCATGAAAGTTGTGTTGTACTTTCCAGTGAGACACTTTGGATGCTAAACACAATGCAAATGGCAGCCGGTAGAAACAATGTCTTCCCAATCAGGTGCTGAATATGCATAAACATGCTGTTCCTCGAAGGGCAGCTGTCAGAACCCTGCTGATTATGTCAGGTGTAGAAAAATATTTGGCATCAGCTTTCTCCCTATGTAGGGGAAAATTCTAGAGCAATGAACCAATCCAGCTCCCATTTTAGCCTCTACCATAAGGCAAGGGTAACTTTCCTGTGGATGTGAATTGTTGGATAGTTGGGTTCTTTGAGGTTTATTCTGTACTCTGCTGTGAACTTCCCTATCCTCTGCAAGGCATCCTCAATTTGTTTTGTTTCCCTAACCCTAGGAGTGCTGCTCCTTCTTTAGGACACCAGCCATTTGACATGCTTTTCATTCAATAAGAGGGACTCTTCCCTGGTGGTATTACAAATTATAACTTTTTTCATTTATTTACTTATCTATCTAGTTCACATGGCTTTAGCGTGAACAGTCTCACCTCTGTAATCCTTCAGTTTTTATCCATTTACTCTTCAGTATCAGTGGCTTTTATATAGTGTTAATACTGTTCCTAGCAATATAGTGGCTTTTACGCCAATGTCCAAGTTAAAATTAGTATTTATCTTATTTGCTTTCATGCTGGCAGGCCATTCATCCTCTGGTACTGTTTGTCCATCACACCAATGACACATTCACCTGAACTAAGCAGTGTGCACATTGCTGGTGCTTCAAACTCTTGCAAGATGATGGAATGCACTGCATTTCCCGCATCTTTTCCCATTTGTCAGGCATTGTACAGACTTGTAGTAACTGTCACAGTACATGCAGCTGCATGTGCTATTTTTACTTGATTCTGACTTGTGCTCCATGTGCCTTTCTGCCTTGTGTCTTATGTTAGAGAATTCAAAATACCATGTCTACAGAGTCAGATTACTGTGCAGTCTCTACAAGCCCCATTCCAGTTTGGGTAACTTCTTTTTCTTGGTCAATTCTAATTGTTTTGTCAAGGGTTAATTCTGGATTTCCCAGTAGTCTTGCTCTAGTTTTTTGTTCTAAATTCCACTAACAGTCTGAGATGTCTATTAATCAAGCCCTCAGATCCTACCCTCTATGCTTCAAGAAATTGGAAGATTGGCTCGACAGCCTTAGATTACTTAGGAAGTCTACAGTTTCACCTTTGTGCTACACTCCTGTTTAAAAACAACTCTTGAGAAACAAGCTGGGCAAAGTAATATCTTTTATTGGGCCAGCTTCTGTTGATTACATAAACAAGCTTTTGAAATTACATAACGCTGTTCTTCTTGAAAGTTTTTGGGTCTCACCAACAGAAGTTGGTCCAATAAAAAATACTATCTCACCCCCATTCCCTCGTCTTTCCAATATCCTGGAACCAACAAAGCTACAACAACACTTTATAAAAACCTCCCTCTCATATGGTTCATTTTTGGGGGGAGTGCAGTACTGCCCACTTTTCTGTACAGGCCATCCTCACTATAAACCCAAGATGCATTAAAAAAAAAAACTTGGACTTATAGCTAAACAAAGTCAGGAATTTTCCCCCCACAACTGACTTCCATTGCATAAATTGGTTTGTTTTTTGGGGTTTTGTGTGTGTGTGTGTGTGTGTGTGTGAGACTTAAGAACAGGGAATGGGAGGACTTATAATGCATCAGTTCCTACACGTTTCAGTGACTTTCATGCAGAATGGATGTATACGGGGGTGACTTACAGTGGGGACACCCTGTAATACACTTTCATAGTTTACCTTCTCTGTCTGAGCTAACTGAAAACTATTTAACACACAAAGTGTTTTTAGAGACAGTCTCATTTCACAGAATCATAGATTAGGGTTGGAAGAGACTCAAGGGGATATCTAGTCCCAAACACCTGCTCAATGCAGGACCAACCCCAAATAAATCATCCTAGCCAGGGATTTGTCAAGCAAGAACTTAAAAACCTCTAGGGATGGAGATTCCACCACTTTCCTCATTTCTGACAATAGCTACTTTCACCCTTGCTAGCATCCATTGCTTTGCAGATTTAAAGTAAAGCATTGTGCAAACCATTTTGAGTTGTTTTTCACATTTTGAAGCCATTTCACTCGAATGG